GGGCGTGCACGACCCTGGCGTGCGCAGTTTTTATTGTTTGTTATATCGATCGTAATCTTATAATTAGCAGTACTTATAGCAAATCAGCGCGACATACGAGACAGAAGAACAAGCTTGGACACTTGACGACTGCGCCGGCCAGTTTTTCTATGTCTTCACGCTTTGGAAGCTGGTAATGCTGCCTCTTCACATGCTCGTTAATTCTTCTTAAGTACTTGCAGACCCAAAGTCTGCAATTTTTTTTTTATTTTTTTACTAAAACCAAAGGGCTTACCCAGTCGGTGCGGGAGTCTTCCTTTTTGATGATTGCCGCTTGTTCCACTTTTTGGAGCTCGTCGCAAAGAGGCTGACGGAGGGACAGGGGCACCCTCCGGGCTGGCTGGACGACGGGGGCGGCACCAGGCTGCAGCACCATGCTCTAGGGCTGCTTCAGGCAGTCTAAACAATCAAAAGGGTGCCTGAAGTCTTTGGCAGCCTTGTTCTCCTCCGAAGTTCTGATGGCGTCCACTGTGCGCTGCACAATTCCTAGCTTCGCTTGTGTTCAGTCCCAACCAATATGGCCCGGCGACCGTCTTTCACGACAAAGAACTTCACACTATCAGGGAGTTTTAGTAGACCGTGTTTCCCCCTCCGCTAAGCCCTCCGCAACGAAGAAACCGCCACCGCGCCTGCGCGCCGATGGCCTTGACTGTAGAGTTCCGGGTAGCGAAGGGGCTTAGCGGATGAGGAAACACGGTCTACTAAAACTTCCTATTAGCAGCCTTTCCGACGGTCACCTTCTGGCACGTAGTTCCAAAGTTTCTTATAAATCCTCCTGTGTACGATCGCAGGACAGAGCTACTGGGTTTCAACTCTTCTGGCGCTCGCAGCTTTTTGTACGCAAAAAAACGGTAACAGGCTGACTTGAGATCCGGTGTCAACTTTAAGAAGGACTTCTCGAGCAGAAACTTGAGCTTTGATGATCCAATCGTGTTTGCCGTTTTCGCCTCCTATCTCCAGAATGTCAAAGTCATCGCCGACGTCATGTTTGCTTACTTCACCAACTACGGTCGAGATAGGACAGCAAATAGCGAAATGATTAAGCTTCCGACATGGGCTTAACTCTTCTGGCGCTCGCAGCTTTTTTGTACACAGAAAACGGTAACATGCTGACTTGAGATCCGGTGTCAACTTTAAGAAGGACTTCTCGAATAGAAACTTGAGCTTTCCTTATCCAATCGTGTTTTTTTTCCCGTAGGCGGGACACCGTCTGACTTCGTGTCGCCGATTGCATTTTCCGTAGCGTAATTGTTTTTTGTCTTTTTGGTCCGCCTTGCTTTGTTGCAGTGCCACTTGTTGTGAGATAGCAACACTATACGGTCGGCCGCCTTGTTCCAGACTAAGTTTCGTTTCGCCAGGGATTCCGCTACTTTGCACATTTCTTCTGCCTTTAGCAACGTCAGACCCTGCTCGCGAAGCATTTTCTCGCAAAGTTTCGAATCATTCGTGCCGAACACGATCTGGTCCCTGATCATTGAGTCATGCAGTTCTCCGAAATTGCGCTGGGCGGCTACCTTTTTCAAGTCCCGAATAAACTTTTCGACGGGTTCTCCTTCGGCTTGCGCTCTTGGCGAAATACGTGGCGTTCGCGCACTCCATTGCTCACCTCGGCGAGGTATTCTTCAAACTTTCTGACGAGGGGTGCGTAGTCGTCCTGCTCTTCCCCGTCTTCAAACTTGAAGTTGTTGAAGACGTCGAGTGCTTCGTCGCCGGCGACGCTCAGCAGGACTGCAGCTTTTGCAGCTTCACTTCTTGGAGGTTCGTTCGATGCCGTAGCCTTCAGGAACAGCTCCACCTTCTGCTTGAAGCACTTCCAGTTTTTGAAGAGGTTGCCCGGCAGTTGTAAGGGCTCCGGCGTTTTGAGCTCATTCATCATCGTCACTGCGTCGTCCGACTACGCCGGGGCCCGCACCGGCCACTTCTGACACCATGTATTATAGGCGATAAAGGAGGCAGTCGACAGGATCGTGTGCAGAGCAACAAGAACGTAGTTTAATGGACGTGATAGTCGGGCGCACTGCGCTTGTCATGCGAGGCGCTGTACATGATACGCCTGATACACCTCCAATCCCTCCCGTCCCCAACTTCTCTCTCCCTTCCTCCTAACCCGGGGTGGCTGATTACAGCCACCAAACTTCAGTATCAGGTATACCTGGCACAGTATATCCGGGCAGCCCTAGAGTGGATTGCAGGAACAACTCTGGACTGAACCATCGTCCCCACTTGCCCCCCCCCCCCCCCCCCTTACGGGTCCAGTTCCAAGAGGGAGGGCAGCGGAACTCTATACCGAGGGCAGTGGCGGTCCTAAGGGGGGGGGGGGGGGGGGGGGGGCGAATGGGGCGACCCCCCCCCCCCCCCAAATCGATCGCTTTTTATAATTATTTTTTGTTTTACAGCCAAGCAAAAAGAGAGCACGTGTACAGTTTGCCAAGTGTGAATGAGGTTTTGAAAATTACTTCATTAATTCAATTATTGCTCATTTTCATTAGAAACCTTTCACTGCACTTTTTATATTTGTTATATAAAACCGCAGTCCTACGACACCTTTCAATGGAAAGTAGTAACATTTGTGAATAAATAAAAAAGTATATGTAATGTTGTACGATTGTGCACGTGTCGAATGTATTCAGCGCTAAAGCTATATTGCGAGCAAAGGTTTACATGTTGCGCATTTCCGACTTGCAAACAGTGATACTAATAAAAAAAAAAAAATCTTTATTCACAAAAAAGTGTGATGTCTCTTTTTTTGTTATTTAAGCAGCGATTTCGCCCCCCTAAAACCAATGTCTGGGACCGCCACTGACCGAGGGCCAATAAATACAATAAAGTTCTCTCTCTCTTCCCCAGAAGCGCTTTAAGACACACACGCGTCAAACATAAGCGAAACGTTGCTTTGAAAACGTGCTTTAATACGCTATTTTACACGTCGAATATATGTACAAAACATGGCTTAGACACTTGGTAATAAAACTAGCTACTATCTACACGTCGAGAAGACACAAATAACGCGTGACAAAAACGATTGCGCACGGCAGTTGGTTGTTCAACGCCCTGAGACTTCGTTGTAGAAACGTTCAGGAGCCAAGTTTGTATAGTGCTTCAAAGTCGATGTGAAAGACGTATAAATGCTATCAAATGCTACGCACTAAGCGCATAAGGTAACGCTCGCGGGTATTTTGACTGGGAAGAGTCCTGTCGCAAGCTAGGAAATCATTCCTGCGCAGTTTGTTTTATTTGATTTTTTTTTATGTCAAACAACTATTTACCCAACATCGTAGCTAATTGCAGTAATCGTTCGCTTTTCATGGAGTTCACAGTAGTTGACCATATCTTAAACACCTCACGTCCGGTGTGATCATTCATTCGGCGGCATAAAAATCCGGCCAGTCTTCAGAGTCTTCACATAAACATTCGACATCGACAACATCATTATACTGCGATGCACAAAAGTTACGGATGGAGATCTCAAAGTTTCCCCTCATGTACAGCTTACAATGAGGCACACGATATCAGTGCATAGACCACCATGGCCAACCAAATGAACGGATAGACACGCATTTCCGGCATGGACACTCTGAGCTCTGTTCGATGCTAACGGCATGATTGCATACTTCAAACTTGGTTGCCACGGTACAACCAAAAAGGTGTCGACGAGCTCGACGTTCGGTACAACAGGCAGTTTGAAACTGGAAAAGTTGGGGCTTTAGTCCTGGAGATGTGAGGCCGTGTATCACGTACCGACCTCCCTCGATGAAAAAAGAGCACTCATTGTAAACGAATAAGGCTCATAAAAAAGACACGAGATGCTTCGCGGGCGATTCTATTAGGAAAGATGGCTAGCTCGCACCACGTGGCTAAGAGTAAAGCGTTTCTTGCATGGCAATATAAAGTTGAACCGCCTCTTACGGAAGAGAGCATATGAAAAAAGGTGTAATCGTTGTCCAGTAGGTTGAGGTAGTCTTCGATGACTATTATGGCGAGGCATTCACTAAAAACGTCCCCCTCCCCCCTTCCCTCCCCCCCCCCCCCCCGCCCCCAAGAAAAAAAAAGCGTTGTTTAGATTATTACATGGATAATCCTAAGCACACACGAAGGGAAACTTGGTCGCGTGACTGCTTGCCGTGCATTCGATGGGATTGTAGAAGTGTGCCATATAAATAAGACAATAAGTTTTTTTGTTGTTCTGTCATAACGATGATTAATTCTACCACGTGGGATGAGTGATGGGCATGTAGAAGTTTGAATTCAACCGTTATTGCTTTAAATAAATAAGCTTCAAAGAGGTCGCGTTATTCGGTTTGGACTGACACTCTGGATAAGAAGCACACTCTAAGAAAGGAGAATAACAAATAACTGGGTGTCTGTGATGAAAAAGCTCGTTTAACCCGTAGGCGCGCTAAAGAATCGCGCGGAGTTCTATGTAGCACATAAACACCGCCTTGGTTGGACCTTGAACCAACATTCGCAAATCCTAGCTAAAAAAAAAAAAAAAAGATGGACACAAGAAACGTCGATCACATACCATTTACGTGGCAAGGATATATCCTATACAAAAGAGCAAAATGAACGAAACTTCGTACGTTACATGTTTGGTATAGTGTACACAAATCTCAGATCTTTGCTGTCCTTCATGACACCTTCACGTAGGAGGATTTGTTTCGGTAAAAAAAAACTTCGTTGCGGAAAGCCTGGAGTAAATTTACAAATCCGTTTCCTAAGAGGCGCAGTCAAGAAGTGCCCGCAAGTACCGGACTCATAGCATTGTCCATACACGGACAATTCAACGGCCTCTAGATTAGAGGGACTGGTGGCCAAGTGGGCTAGTGTACCGCAGCTCATGCGACATAGACCATTGTATAGGCTTCGTAGTGTTTTAAGCTAGGGTAAGACTCTTCACGGATGTGCGCAGCATAGCGAATCTCGTGGCTAGAATTCTGACAGACAAGCTATCTGCAAGGAACTTTTTTTTTTTTTTTTTTATGCAAACACTATTCACAAAGACGAATCTAGGCTATCTACTTATGAACGTAACTTGTAATTGCTTACATCACGCTTTGCAGAAGAGCCCGTCAATCTTGAACCATACACCAACGTTTGGCACTCTTCCCTCCAAAAATATTTTTGGTGGCACTGGCATCGCAGCAAACGACATTCGAGACATATAAGAGCAGCTTCCGCGATGATAACCAACACTTCCACGTGAACGCGCATGAAGGTCAAGCACTTGAAGCTCGTAAAGCAGCAAGCGGCCAGTTTGTACGCATGTCCCGGTACACCCTCCCTCAACGTGGAGCACCACACACACAAACCGCTGGCAACTCGGGATTCCACAGTACGACTCAGCACTTTGTCAGTGATGCAGTCAGGTGTCATTCGGCAGGTCACAGTCTGAGGAACGACGCACTCATCGACGAGTCGGGGTCGACGACGTGGCGGCAGTGGGTTGGTCTTGAGAGGAACGGTCGTCGGAGAACGGCGGCGGAGGACAGGACGCTTCCCTGGGATCCCGAGGGTCAGAGGCGGAAGTCCTTGACGCTTCTGGGCAGGAAGTTTGTTCCCTTCTGGCGCGGTCTCCGTCCGCGCTTGACGTGTCCGTTCTTTCCGATGGACAGGTACCAGCGCCAGCGGGTTCCCCGGGAATAGCGCATGGACGAGAACGTCGAGTAGGCGTTGGGCAGCTCGCTCAGCTGGAAGATGCACTTCTCCGAGCGCCGCTTCTGCGAGGTAAAAAGAAAGGAGAGGACGACGTTTGCACTTTCCATCGACTCCAGGGGGCGCTGTCGTTCAACCAAACTCCGCTTTCGTGCGAAATATTAAAATTTACTTATGTTATTTTATTTACTTATTTATTTTGTACTTTCAGATTTCGATGGCCCGAGGCAGGAGTGATTAATTACATGGCAAAGCACAACGTATAGAATCAGAACACGTAATTGGCATTACTGCAACGAGGAGGAGACAACAGTTTGAACGAATCATTATGCACCTGATCTGTTAACCGCAGCCTAATAGGGGCTGTTTCATTCGTCTATGCATCCAATAAAAATACTTAAAAACACCCGAAAAGTATGACGGAGAAATAATAATAAATGGTGCGCAAATGGTGCGCAAGTGGTGCTCGAGACAAGTGGTGCGCAAAGTTTTCTTCTCCGCATTGCCACAGAGCGATGCAAGGAAGCGAGAAGGCGTAGTGTCATACTCTCAGTTCTAAGCAACACGCCAAACTATAGAAACTATAGAACACTGTCTATAGTTCTAAGCAACACATCAAATTATAGAAAGTATAGACCACTATAGAAGAACACGTCAAACTATAGACCCCTATAGAACAACACGTCAAACTATAGACCACTATAGAACACAACTACAGAAGACAGAAGCTATAAAACACTGTTTTATTTATTGCAATGACGCGTTTTTATTCCAGGATATGCTGCAACGCACTCTTAAAAAAAAAATTGAAAAAGCCCCCCCCCCCCCCCCCCCCCCCCCCCCCCGATTTTTAACGATTACAGTCTCCGCTTCGTCCGATTTTAGAAAAAAATGAAGCTCTCCCGTACGACATGTTTGCCCTATTAGGATTACATAGTTTATGGAAGTACCGGATGATAGACAGATACGTACAAAAACCGCGTACGACGAACTCGCTTTTTATAGAGCTGGTAGCGCAAGTGAGAAGTGTATACGCTTCACATTTTAGTCAACCCGATTTGTTCCCCACCTTCGATGCATGTCTAGGCGTCCCAGATTTTTGAAGAGTGAAATATTGGTGTGAGTGTATGTGCGTATGTGAACCTGTGAGAATTGTATTAGATTCATTGAGTTGGACGCTGTGGTGATACCTCTGTGTATATAAGGATTTTAATAAATGATCACATCTATAATTGATGCCAAATATGAGTTGGGTGTGACCGCTACATGTAAACAGACTTCCACAAAGAATGTTCTGACTGCATGTGCAGTCAGAAGCGAAAACATGCATTTTGTTTGCAAATATTTTTGTTATAAAGATAAAAAAAAGGGATCGGTGGTCGAGTGGGCTAGCGCACACTATAGCTCGGAGCGCGTGGATCGCGTGGAGGATCCCTGGGTTCAATCCCCACCCCTGCCCGTTTCGATCTGGAAGTTCATCGCACTGGAGTGCAGTCGTGTATCACTACCGCGTGGTGTACCTTAAAGACTCCAGGCTGGCGGTTGTACCGCACTGGCTAAATTGCTCATCTACAGCTGAGAGACAAGACGCCCATTGAGGCTGACTAACTTCCAGCTGTATAAACATACACACAACACAATTACGCACACACAAAAAAAAAAAGACTTTATTTTTCGCGTAAATTGGAATTAAACTGGAAAGTTGTTATTTCCCCCCTCTGGAGCAAAACCTTAGACTAATGTTTGGGGTTTTAAAAAGCAGCAGAAAGTGCCAATTCTTTCATTTTCAAAGCGCGCGAAGGTTGACAATTTCTTGATTGTTTTTCTTGGGAACTCGAACCGAGAGGAGCATAAACCTTGCTTCTTTATAATTTCTGCATCTTCATTTTTTTTTTTTTTTCAGAAAGACTTACCTTCAACACAACCTGCTATTGACAAACCGAATAAATTTCGAAGAGGAAACATACTAGTAGCATATTTTTAATTTTTTTGCGGAAGCACAAATCTCTCTCGTGTTTCCTGTCTTGAAGTTTAGGAACCTGTGTGCAATTCTTTTTGTACTCAGTTTTCTTAATAAAAAAAGTGCTCGCATAAAAAAGTAATAAACAAACACCGATGAGATTTGAGGTTCAGTCAGTATACTAGTGCACACATGAATAGCACCGAAACCTGAGATTGTTCGGGGTAAGGATAATGAGCCCACACATTTCGAGGTTGATATCCCTTCCAAGCCTTGCATTCCTTCGAAGGTTCGGAGGTGTCGCCTTTTTTCCGGACATGTTTGATGACGTGCTGCTGACCCTAGGTCAGCTGCACTCTAAAAAAAAAAAAAGCCCGTGCGTCTACTTTCCCGCTCAACAATTGGAGAGCCAATCACCGAACCTTACGGAGGCAGTTCACCGAATGACAATGCCGAAACATATGTTTGGACCAAAAAACGCAGTCTGAGTTGTGACCTTAAGCAATGTAAGCGTGTCGTTTTGCACTGCTTAATGTCACAACTCAGACTGCGTTTTTTGGTCTAAACATATGTTTCGGCATCGTCATTCGCTGAGCTGCCTCCGTAAGGTTCGGTGATTGGCCCTCCGAGTGTTGTGCAGGGAAGTAGACGCACAGACTCTTTTTAGAGTGTGCACGCTACACCACAACGATTTTGGATCACCATTCGTTGGTACTGCTTTATTCGGATAAGCCCATGAGAAGGCGCCGCTCCGTATCGTGCTCCGATCAAATTTCACTGTCAAAAAGTAGCGAACGCCTATTTTCCACGTATAATTCTGTGACCAATCGGGGGGGAGGGGGAGGGGGGGGGGGGGAGGGGCGATCCCTCTTGCCCACCCCATTGGCTAAGAAGCTAATTAAAGCGATATTGTAACAATGATTGGTGCTTTGAGTACGTTGCAGTGAGATTTGCACTCGGGATTCTTTTTTTGAGTGTCGAGCGATTGGGACAGAAAAAAAAAAGAAAGAAAGAAAGAGAGAGAGAGAGAAAAAAAATTGGTCGCAGGTGCGGTCACAACAGAACAATGGACGTTATGAAATACCCAAAAGCTTAACTAATCATTACGTTGACCAAACAAAATGAATCATCTTTTCTTCTGGATTTTTACGCTTTTCACTTGGAAAAGACTCGAGAACTCTCTGATTCGCAACTGGAGGCGGCACTTTTTCGAGTGCCCCGGCTTATGCAAACCGTCGCAGTTGCGAAATATTGAGTGTGATATAAAGAAGGGAAACATAATAGCAAGTAGCGAATGGTGCAGCGGGGGCCACGATAACTCACGAGGACTTTGATGACACTACAATGCATCCGGAAGGAAAGCTACATCCAGCTGCTTTTCGACAAGCGACAGCTTCTGCAGCGACTCGGGACCGCGTACCGCGCAAAGCTGCTGAGCTCAGCGTTGCCATCCTGCGCCAAGTTGGATCACTGCTAGTGCGTGACAGCCGCAGAACAATGTTTCCTTTTCAAAGACAATTATAATAAAAAATAAAGAAAAAAAAGCTGCGTATTTTGCTTGACGCCCATTCGATTTCCTTGGAGTTGACGCCCAAAAACGGTTGGATTCTTTATTGGAAGAGACAAAAAACCTTCGTAATGAAATGTTAATAATTTGGTATGGCCCATATGTGCCGAGCAAATACCAAGCTCACTCTTGCTACGGATGTGTCTTTCTCGCCCCTCTCGTCTCTGAAATGCCTCAGAGAGTGAGGAAACGAATAAATAAATACTTATATTATGAACATTAAAGACACAAATATCGAAGTATTTACAGATGGTGAGGAACAAAAAAGGGTGGCTACGCCATGCTGCGCAGCTTTTGTTCACGGCACATCGTCTGTATTGTGGCAAGGTGGAAACTAATTGCATTTTATTTTGTTTCATTTGAGATGATGGTAAGTGCTGTATCGACGAAATATTATATGCATTTGTGAACAAGACACATCATCTAGGATCTATTCCCTTCACCGACAGAAGACTGAGCGCTTTCGGGTTTCCGATTGAATTTGCACAGTCATTGGCGCAGTCGAGCGCGGTCAACTTCACCTGCGGTCCTCGCGTTAAGTCTCTGTCATAGCCTCCTCTTACTCAAAAAGCCTGGCAGTTCGACGACGGAGTCATAGAATGCCCGGTCGCAGATTTAGAGCGCGAGGATCTGGTAGCACGGACCATCAAAGAGCCATTTCCCGGGGAACCTGGAGGTCAGTGCACAGCTTTTGCAGCGGCGAGAACCCGAAACACACTCGTTCGATTGGGAGAGGTGTGTTTCGGCGTCTCGCCGCAGCGGGGCGCCAGTCATGTGGCTCCCCTCTGATCCGTTGTGTGCCGCTTTACCTTTTCCATATTCGTGGCCGCTTCTCGTGGCAAAATGCCAGGTTTTGTCAGTATATAGGAGGCTATGGCTCTGCTCTACTCCGCCTTCGAGCAGCAAACGCGACATAGCGCAGCGCACACAGATACTGTTCGGTCGCAAATATCGAGTTTCTGCTCTCCGGCCAATAAAACGCGCGCGTTCTGCGCTACGCTACGTTCGCTGCTCTCAACGTCGGAGCCTATAACAGAGCCTGTAAGCGGGGTCTAAAGAAGCCGGTACCTGGATGCCACAGTTGGCAACGAACGGGTTTCGATTCACGCCGAGGCAGAGCCCTGACGCATCGGAGCTGGCGTCTGGGTTTGGGACCTCCTGCTAGGCAACTGCGGCTTTACCTGCCGATGTATTTTCCATGCAGCAGCTGCTGTGATATTCATCTATTTTGTTTTCACCACTCATCCAAAACACTCCGGAATGATGATGATGATGATGACAGCGCGGAAGAGAGCTAACCAATTGCACTCCTGTTCCATCTCTCTAAAGTTCCGAAAGACTTTCGGAAAAATTGATTTCGGCCGATCAACTACACTGATCGTAGTATTCCCGGGAAATATTAATTATAGATAGCAATAATAAAATAATAATGAACTCCAATCAGCAACTCGGGAACGTACACTTCTTGTTAAGTCCTAACATATGTGTTGGCCTCGAATCTTATGGACCACTCTTGAACAAAAAAAAATAAAAATATA